CTTTTACACGAGTAGAATAAAGTAAATATATTTTTGGTTAAGAGGAGACCTACACACCCTTACACACTACACAACACAGCACCCCCACACCACTGACCCCGGCTTAAAACGCTGAGAAAGCGAGCCATTTTCAGTTCTTGGACGTCTTTGATCTCGCGACTGAACGCGTAAAGCGCAGATCTTTCTCCCCTCTTCTTCTTGACAAGGAAACAACAACATGAGTGTTTACAGTCGCGTCACGCACCGCAATGCTCACCGCCGCCGGGCTCGCGACGGAGGGGGCCCTCCTCCTCCGGCCGCTCACCCCTTCCATATCTCCCTCCCCCTCCCCCTTTCCACTCCCCTGCCCTAACCCAACTGGCTGAGCCGAACCGTGACTCTCGCGCGCGGTCGGATCGGAGGCGGCGCCGGCGGCGGGCTATCGTCATTCGCGTGCTCGTTCTCGCCGTGGCATGAGCCGTCCTCGACGCGCGGCGAGGGGCGCCGCCTTCACCGGCCCCTCCCCGAGTGCGTCTCGCCACCCGTGAGCGATGGGCCACCGGGGTGGCGACGACCCCCTCTGCTTCGACGGCGTCGTCAGGCTGGCCGCGCCCTGCGCCTCCACCTCCGACACCACCGCGGTGGAGGCGGACGCCGCCGAGCCCTACCTCGCCCGGTCCGTGTCCGCCGTGGACAGCGGCTTCCGCGATGACGACCTTGATGACTCGGCCAGCTCGTGCAGCAGCGCGACCTCCAGCTGCTATGCGGGCAGCAACTCCAGCGTCAGCGTCAAGGACTTGGTGCACAGCGCCCTGCACGCCGACGAGCCACCCATGTCCTTCGGCGACATCTCCGTCAGGCATTCGGAGAACGTACAGATTGGGAACAACACGCACTTCCACGGCAAGGTGACGGTGGTACTGTCCTCGAGCAAGTCCGTCAACGGTGTGGCCGTGCCCGCCGTGCTGCCCGCCGCCACCGATCCTGACCTGCTGCTAGCGCTCGACAAGGGCCCCGTGCCGCGCTCGCCCGACGGCTCCGTCCCCCCAGGCGACCACGGCGGCCACCTGGGAAGCAACAGTAAGTACAGGGTGTGCCCCCCGGGAGGCGGGCCGCAGGAGACACGCAGGATGGGGGACGGTCGATTGCGGACATCTATGGATCCGGAGGGTCGGAACGGTCGATTGCGGACAAAGTCTTTTTGACAGGGGATTACCGGGTCCCGAGGGTTCACGGGTCTGCCCGCAATCGACCAGGGCTCACCGCGGGCGGCCGTGGCGTGCCGCGTCCAGGTGGACGCACAGCGTCCGTGCCCCATGCCGCCCCATGCCTAAGCGTTGGTTTGCTTAGTTGTATTTTTTAGCAGATGATACCTAACACTTAGACTTGGAAACGTATGACCCAAGCGTATGGAGCCCCATGCCTAAGCGTTGCGCGGAGCGATAGCGAAGCGCAACGCTGCACAGATAACGACATTACTGACTTCAATGTATTGCGTTAGGTTTGTTAGTCTAGGTTTGCTTAATCATTTTTAAAACAATTGGCTTCAAAGATAATTGCATCATTACTGACTTCATGTATTGAGTTAGGTTTGTTAGTTAAGGTTTGCTTCTTAATATTTTTTTTATTGTTTTTCAAGTTTAAATTTTTCTAGCCTGCTTCGATGATAAGGCACGAGAGGAATACAGAGTTCGAAGCCAAAACATTGAGAATACCTATAGTTAGTTGGGCCTCGACGCCGCTCACTCGACCCGCCCAGACCCGTCCCGGTCGATTGCGGACAGGCCCGTGGACCATCGGGTCCCGGTAATCCGCTCGTCAAAGAGACTTTGTCCGCAATCGACCGTTTTGACCCTCGGCTCCCAGGTATGTCCGCAATCGACCTGACGCCCGCAGGATAGCAGCTCTCCGACAACAGAGGCCATCCCGCCTCGAATACAAGGCTGGCCGACGGACAGAAAATGTTCAGTGGTCCCGCGGGTCACCCAGTATATCAGTGGTTGGTATTGGGGTCGACCGCTCGGCTGCACTTTCTTATCAGCGGAAGACTGGCCGAGCCTGTACCGCCTGCTCAAGTATTAAGTTGGGAGGGTAGCGGTTTCACGGATAACCCTTTAACGTTCGCATGGTAGTATTAGGATTAACTGCGTCTCTGTTTCGCACTGCCCTCACGACCCCTCCTCTCTTTTTATTTTCCTCTCTTCTTCCGCAATACCTTTTATTTTACTTTAATTTTTATTTTTTTGTTAATGGTGGACGGCTGCAGGTTGCAGGATCTTCCACAAGAGACGCTGGCTGACACCCCGCCGTCGTTTTATTATTCGCCAACCACGCCCTGGGAAAACCAAAGGTGTCTGGCCAGGTTAGGCCCCGAACTTGAACTCCGACGAACTCTGCGCTCACCCGTCCTCCCTCTCCTTCGCCATGCCGACAACTCCCCTCTCCCCCTCTACCGTGAGCTGCTGTGAATACCTATAGGTCTTTCGCAGGCCTGGGTTACATGATCATCATGGCCAGTTTGCTGCGCTGTGCAGCAGAGCACACTCAATATTCCCTCTCTTGGCTCTAACTCCCCGTTCCTTGGAAATCGTCGGCACGCCTTCACATGATAAGCTACACGCCCTGATGCCGGCGTGCGCAGCGCGCTGCGCCACCCGTGCCGCATGAGCGCCTCATCCTTTTGTTTTTACTTTTATGCCCCCCCTCCCTCGGTCACCCGCTTCGCTCATTGTTCGCGGCCCTAAACGCCGTCGTCACTCTGCTTCTTAATCTCTCTCCGAAAACATTGAGCATACACGCAAAAAAAAAAAAAAAGATTAGCTGGATACGTGATAGGTAGTGAAATTCGCTGAGCAGCTAACTTTTTCGACATCCTAAGTACTGATCAGCCACTACGGGGATGACCTTCGCCGCCAGAACTAGAAAGTTAGCTGGCCTAGCTAATATTAATACCTATCACGAATCCACCTAATACATTAGATTTCTCAGTTAATCCTCTTTTTTCGTGTACACACGGAAGGTTTAACCCGAGGTTTAAGCTGATCTGGATCGCAGTTTTGTTGACAGAGCGGGCCGGGGCCGAGCAGCGGGCCGTCTCCACCAAGTTCTGGACCAGACCCTGCTTCTACATCCCCGTCGCCCTGGGGACACTGCTGGTCAGCGCGCTTGCCATCACGGCCGCGACCTTGTCGTCGTCGTCGCCAACGCCAACGGGTAAGGACGCGCGTGGGGCAATGTCGGAATCATGCCGGAACCATCCAATGGGAGCATTCAATATGGTTGGTAATGCGATGAACGTCGCAAGGTCCTAGAACTCAGAAAAGTGCCAAAAGATCACCAGTGACGTTGAGAGATTTCTTTTCCGTGTCACTTTGGGCCTGCCAGCGCGACCATAAGCTTTGTCACAGCTTCCCTTTGTTCTCTTACTGACGTGGGAGACCGGTTGCCATGGAGACGGATCTATGCAGCAGAAACCGGTCGCAACGATTACCGTCCGTCGGGTCGGCTAGGTCGTCGAGTTTCGACGCCGGGAGCAGGGCAGGAGAGGAACAGGCTGTGCGGGCGGCGGCGGCGGTGCGCGGGTCCGAGTTTTGCGGCGATGAATCGGATCATGCGCGGAGATGCCGTGCCGCGGCCTGCTGCGCCGTGACGCGGTGGGAAAACCGGCCGAAAGCTCCGAGTTATAATGAGGGCGGTATAGTCGTATCATGTGCCGGAAATGACTCGAGCTCGGCGCGCTGATGTGATGGACATAAGGGGGCCGCAGGAGCGGGACATAATGTTACGTTTTGCCAGTAATGAAAAAAAGTTGGGGGGGGGGGAGAGTACTTGTTATTAAATACACCAAGAAGTGATCGAGCTGTTGCGGACGGTAGGACGTTCAAATTTCCTCCACCTCAGCGCGCTTTCTCGAGGCGGACTATTTTCATCCCAGCAGCAGAGGGCGTGCACCAATTTGAGCGATAGAGTCGTGCTAATCCAGCACGAGTTATCCGGCGGGGGGCCGGGCCGCAGCGAAGCCTATCAGGGATCAAGCGTGATTGGGGATGGAGTTTGGGGGGTTGAGCCGGCAGGAAACTCTTCCAAACCCGACCAACGAACGTTACTCTCATTTCGACTTCGACGCTCAGTTCGTGGCCAGACACAGTACGCGATAATTCCCGACGAATGCGCTACAAAGTCACTTTGCTACATCACACTGTAAAGCCTGACCGTGCCGTCTTTGGTGCTTGCAGCCCGGGCGCAGCTCCCCAACGGCCTGACGCTGGTGCCGCGAGACGAGTGGGTGGCCGCGCCGCCCAGGGACGGCATCAACCACCTGACCACGCCCGTCGAGTACGTCATCATCCACCACTCGGCCTCCGATATGTGCTACAGCAACCCCGAGTGCGTGAAGCAGGTGAGGCACCACCAGCCAGCCCGCCGTTGCAAACCTGCCGAGTTCACCTATCAGCCCTTCAGCAGTGCAAGCTCTCGAAGCGCCTGGTTGATAGGCAACATCTCGCCTGCAGTGCGTGTGTGTATCGCGGGATGGCCTATCCTGCGTCTCGCAGGCGTTGAGCACCCGTAATTTGCCGAATGAACCTGAAAAGAAAAAAACTGTGTTTGTTTTTCTTTTGTTATGCAGACCCGCCACATCCAGCAGTACCACATGGAGAGCCGGAACTGGTCCGACATCGCCTACAACTTCCTGGTGGGCGGCAACGGCTACGCGTACGTCGGGCGCGGCTGGGACCAGGAGGGCGCGCACACCTTCAACTGGAACGCGCGCTCCGTGGGCGTCTGCCTCATCGGCACCTTCACCTACGGGCGGCCCACCATCGAGCAGATGCGCAGCACGCTCCAGCTCCTCGAGTGGGGCGTGACGCTGGGCAAGGTCGCCCCCGGGTACAAGCTGGCGGGAGTGTGCCAGATGCGCAGCACCGAGAGCCCCGGTCGGCAGCTCTTCTCCGAGATCAAGCGCTGGGAACACTGGTGGAACTACACGGTGGGGGACTCGTACTGCAAATGATAGGGAAGAGCACCCGTGTCTCCCCTGAATGATCTCGAATCCGATCAGGAGTGACCCCTTCCTCATCTCACACCGCCTATACCAGCGCAATCAAATCAGTGGTGGCTAGGGGGATATGTTTGTGGGGAACTGAATGTGTCTTCGAGTTGGGGACATGCCATAAACAGGCTGTGATATATTTCGAATATTTAGAAAAATTAAGACTGTCCGTGTTCAAGCAATAATTAGCCTTAAAAACACAACAAAAAACAGTGTAAAGTATGTGTTTGCTTTTGCCATCCATTTGAAGTTGTTGTACAGACGTTTGTAGATTTTTTTGAGTTTCTAGGAGTACATCCACCATCACTTTGTACACACTTTTAAGATGTTTTAAATTATAAAATGCCTACTTGAGAACAACAATAAATTTCATTTATCACACCTTTTACATACAACTACAAAATCCTGAAGTATTTGAAATAACACAGAGGTGAAATCAGAAAATTTGCCCTTTAGAAAAGTTTGTATTCCGCTAGCCATTCAAATGTCCCACCCTCTACGTTATGTTTCTATAGTAATATTTCTCATACTCTGATTAGTTTTTCATATCAAGCAAAAGGCGCCAAAAGTAAAATTTCCAAATCTGCACTACTGTAGCACTCTGCAGACGACAATATTTATTTTTGTTGCGCACGACGACGACCAATATGGTCTAAAACATGACATGACGTTTTATTTCAAACCTCCAAGAGGTGACATTCAATTTCATCGTCTACAGGAATGTTTAGAAGAAAGGATTAGTTATCTAAAATATGTACAGATCTCAGAGGACATATCCGAGTGTAATGAAGGTTTCAAATTTGAATATTTGACTGATGGATCAGCACTTGATAGAACAGGACACTTCATGTTAAGGTATCAGTCAGTAAAGATAAAAAATAATCATCTTAGAAATGGCATTGTGTTCATTTTGAAATTCTCCCTCCTGTTTACTACAGGTTATTTGCATCCAAGCTGGTTGGGTTAGAAAGTTTTTTACTCCATTCAGAAAGTGTCCTGTTTGAGAAGAGGTTGAAATGCCTCAGTCATTTTGAGATAAAAAAAGAGTTACGGACAGCTCAGCGGCATGTGAAAGAAATATTGAGTTCTGGTTTCCTTCTTCCCAGGTATAAAATATTTCTTCAGAACTTTACAAGCCTTTGCGAGAGAATAATCTCAAGTGGGGGACTTTGCCATGTCTTTACTGACGCACATCCTCTCAACTGTAATAAGTTTAACCTATCAGGTAAACACTCCCCTTTTTTTTCTACGGTGTCCAATCACAGTAAAGATTTTTTATGACATTTACTTCCTCATGTTCCAGTCCCATTCACATATTGTCTTCCAATGGTTCGCACCAGGAGGGTTGACTTAAGAGGAGGATTGGCTGTGGTTCCATGCAGCGAATGGTCTACATTACTTTCATGTGTATTTGCTAATCATATTAAATATGGTTTGCAGCAACTATCACATTCTAGGTCATACCAAATTATCTGGGATGATGACCGAATAAAACTTCTGTATCAAATTGTAAAGCAGCAGTCTGGGTTCTATAGTTCAGAAGAGGCATGTAGTACTATGACTTTGTTAGCCAAAGATGTTGACGGGAGAAGTATATTTTTTCCACCCTGCATGAAAAACATGCACAAAATCTTACGTCAACGCCATCGCCTCTCACATTTGTCACGTTTTTACTACAGCTTATTTTTAAAGGTAAGTTACTTCTTTTACTCAGTCAATACTTGAAAAATTAAAAATATAAATATATATTTTTTAAAAAATATGGTTTTTTTTTCTGATTAAATGTTTATATATAGGATGTAGGAATGCCAGTAACAGAGTCTCTAAATTTTTGGAGTCAAGAATACTCACAAACCAATACCAACTGCGCATCATGTTCACACTCCTGGCAAAGAGATAACAGGAAATATGTTTATAGTATCAGGCATATTTACGGATTAGAGGGCTCTCGTCGAGTGTATCAAAGTCCACGTTGCAAGCAAGTTCAAGTAAGTTCTTAAAATCATGAAGCTTTAATTTTAAAATTGTACCAAACATGTGGAAATCATATTTGCTGTCACAGGATATGTCACTGAGTCCATCAGCAGATGGTGGGTGCCCATTTGCAGATTTTGATGAAGAAAAGCTTCTGAACTGTCTACATCAGGAGATAAAAAGTGAAAAACAGTCTATTGTATTACTGAAAGAAGCTAAAAATGAAAAAGGTCCAGCTGAGGCATGTCGATTGTATTGTCAAATGTTGCATAATCTTGCGAACAAAAGTAGCATTTCTGCCCCAGAAAATATAGTTACTGTACAAGAAGATATAGACCTCACTGCTTTACATCCATCTAAATTTTATAAGTATATTTGTGAGGCTACATCATAGACTTCCATGTATGTTATGTGAGCTAGTATCTAAATATGCTAGGACGTGGCCCAAAGAACACCTGTCAAAATTGCAGATATTGTTTTCTTAGTTTCACATCATTTTGAAAAAGCCGTGTTCTTTGGGAGAGGTAGAAATATCTCTACAAAATAAAACCATGACCTTTCACAAATTATTTTAGATTTTGGAGTTCCCAACACAGAAGAGTTGCAAATGTGTTTGATGCTATTCATTAAAACAGTACAATTTTAACAGGAACTGTCTTTTTAGGCCACTCCTGTAGGGGTCACAAAATATCTTCCAAACTTATATCGGATTGAGGAACAAAAACCACAATAACAGCGCAAAGATCTGTGTTATGTTGGTTAGTGCAAAATCTGAGATGGGTCTGGTTGGAGGAGCACTTAAACATTCTCCAACCCCTTTGCCTTAATTAATAAATGTTCTAACATTTCGAAAATACTCTTCATGAGCTTTCCTAATCCAATGCAAACTATTAATTTCGACTGCTCTTTCATCTTTACAAAGACAGAGAGTGTATATATACACACATGATAGTTCATTGAGTTTATGTTCGTCATGATTTTAAAATGTTCATAATTTTCTTTATGCAAACAACATATAACAATATTTACAACAGAAATATTAAAAACAACAAACGCAGGTGATGTGTGAAGCGTAGGGTCACCTGCGTTGTGGTTGTGTTGCAATCAAATAAGATTATTAGCCCTCATGTATGACAAACACTTTTTACAGTCACAGTACCTCATCCCATGCCCAATTATCTTGTCAACTGTGTTTGACGCACGTAATTTTTCAAGAGCTTCTGGTGTTGCCCTTTCTCTGTGCTTTGCTGTAACATGCTCTACAAGTTCATCAACACATTTCATCCCTCTGAATGAAATGAAGTAGCAGACCGGACAGCGAACTCCTCGGAAATTGTACACATAGGTGGCAGGTACGCTTTTGGTAAGATGAGGGTTGTGCTTCTTTCCAGTAAAGGAACCAGAGTAGGAAAGTGTGTCACTCGTGGTGGAGCTACTTTCATCATCAAACATCGAATCTTCCTCATCCTCAGAAATGTCTTCTTTCTTAATTGCTGCATGATCCTCATAGACTTCGCATGAGTTAACGATGAAGCCGCCATGTAATGTGCCAGACTAGAAAGATAAAAGAACATGTTATACATTGGACTGTTGCTGGTGCCCTGCTTGTGGAGGACACACCATTAATGAGAACACTGCACATATGCTTTTGCAACTTAATCTTTCAGCATTTAAAATTTCCTCATACAAGTATTTTTTAGTGCCTCACCCGATTAGTGTGCTGTTGATTTGTAAAAAAAGAAAGTTGTAACCTTGAGAAACATTACCAGAATGTACACTTTGCACACATTTACAAAAGGTGTTGTACATTCTTGTTGCCTGCGCTCAAGATTCCTCAACCAGAAATTATATGAAATTTCTGCGGTATGGCTTACTTTCATGAGAACCAGAAGGGCCCCAAAAACAAACGAGTGTTTAAGCATGACACCTCACTGACAAATTATTTACTGAGAGTAACGTTACATCAAGCCTAAAGTCCATACACTCTGAGGAAGGTGAGGTGCTACAGAAATACAGTGACATTCATACTGACCTGATCTGAATCACTCACGTTCCTGGGGTGTAGCAGTGATGAGTGAGGATGGGCAGAAAACTTCAACAATTCAGCAATGAGCCTGTTTGTAAGAGAAACAGCCCAATCTCGTATACCAGGTGGCAGCACCGACAGATCTTGCATGCAGATGGACTGAGCCTGCACAACTTGTCCGAGGGTAACAGTGATGTCAACTCCCTCCACACTAGAGGCGGGGATATAGATGTACATCATTACACAATAATAATGCTACACCTACGTCCATAAGGATAAGAAGCCACATGTACGTGAAACGGTGGACGAAATAGAATTATGACAGTACCTTATGTCGTTGGCGTTTAACAATGACTCCAATGGCATATTTTGGTTTTGCAGATTTGCTATGACCTTATAAAGACCATCTTCACCTCTATCATTATACTCTGAAGCAGCCTGAAAACGAGGGACGGCATCTCATTACGTTGACTGGTATCGGTAATGGTCCACAGGTAAGACGTCAAGGACACATCTATGATTATGTGTCTGAGGAAACGTCATCATAACCAAACCTCAATCTGACCATGATAGTTTCGTAGCTTACCATTGAACTATTCCTCCTACCGGCGATTTCGTAAATCAGAGCTGGTGAACTAGTAATAAGATGAACATATCTGGCTGAGCCGATTCAATCTTAGTTAAGCTTATAAGCTTAATAATCTGCGAAGCCTTTAGTAACCCACCCCAGGGCAGAAAAAAGTAAGCCAACGGCAGGGTAGTCGACGCAAAGTTTGAATCCAGTGCTATGACATGGTTTTGCGACCCGCGCATGCAAGCTCAGCCTTGAGTGTCAACTCCTCCTAGTAATTGTTGGTCGGTATATCTTGTGTCTTTGAAGTTTGAAGCTAGTTTGAAGCCGGCCGGAAAAACAAAAACAGGAAGCAGACAGCTTCGTCTATCGATGTTTATGATCGATTGTGAGAAAAGACAAACAACAAAAACAACACAACTTCTTCTTCATCTTCTTCTTATCTGGGAACAGTTGAACAGTAGAACAGTAACTTTTTGACAGGAGTCGAGAATAGTCGGTACAGCTGTCAACATGGAGTTTAATTTCAGTATTAATGCGCTATTTAAGGAAAAAATAGTGAAGGTGAAAAACAATTTGCTGCCAGAAAACTATTCTTCTGACAGAAGAGGAGATGGGTAAAGTATTCTGTTGACCGTTTGCTCACGGCTGAATGAAAAACAAATCACAAAATTGAGGTTATTGCGAAATACTCCCACACACAGGAAGTAACATTGTTTCTCACTTTGTTTACTTCCAAGATGTAACGAGTATGCATCGTATTGAATGTTCGTTTTTCTATCAACTCGCCTCATATTTTTAAATTGAATGTATGACTTTTTGACCCAGTCTAAAAATCAGGCCAGATGTCATGGTTGCATGCCCCTATTCCATATATGGCCATCAAGCACACCTGCTGGTTTCGGAATGAATTTCCCTAATTAATTTCTACTCATGCTAATGAGTAATAGGTCCAAATGCATAATTTTATCAAGAACTTGGTTTAGAATGCTAGATTTTGTAAATTGTGGTTGTAAATTTGTTTTGTCATGAAGCCTGTTAAAACATGTGCATGAAGTTAAATTCGTGGATAGTATACTAATGAAGGCCTGAAAATTTGCAGGGATGTTGTTTCTAAAGTTGCAGATGTGCTGGACAAAATGGGAGTTGTTTCTGCCAAAGCACAGAATCTCCCTGTTGCAATTACCAGTGCTTCAAAGTTGCGAAACACTGACCATGTGGTGTATGTCATGACAGATCCTGATGGAAACAAGTGTGTATTTCGACTTTAGTCTGTGTTTGAAGGAGTTTTTGAAACAAATTGCTGTTCTCTGGGCTTTAATCGTAACATCTGTAACATCTGTATGTATGTTTGCTTTTTTAAACTAGGGGGCATGGCACAGTTGTTGGAATTTTAAAAGTTGGCAGCAAAAAATTGTTCATTTACAATATGACTGGTGTTCAATGGGAAATGGAACCCCTTTGTGTACTGGACTTTTATGTCCATGAATCAAAGCAAAGAACTGGCTGTGGACGTCTTTTATTTGATTACATGCTGCAGGTAGGAAAAACACCCATCTAACGTTAACTTTTGTTTTATGGTTCACATTTGATGGACAGAGAGACTTGTAAAGGTGCCCTATTTTATTTTTTCAGGATCAAAGAATCAGCCCTAATCATTTAGCACTAGATCAGCCATCAGAGAGTTTCTTGTCCTTCATGTGCAAGCATTATGGACTCGACAGTATAATTCCTCAGATGAACAGCTTTGTGGTCTATGATTGCTTTTTTGATGGTCGTTCTGGTAATATAATCTGTGGAATACTTCATAATATCTAATCCATCTACATTTGAAAGCAGACTTTACCGCATTGTATTTGTTTTTGAACAAAAATTTATTTGTATTTTTTTCTGTTAGACAAAGGCAGAGGATCCTCCAGCCACGGTAGTACTGGCTCAAAGACCAGGACCACTGTCCAAAGTGTTAAAGCATATTCTCGCTCGTAAGTCTATGTACAGTATACAAAAATTTAAGCAACCTTAACGTGTGGGGTGTGGGTACAAACTTGCGCAAACTTTCCATGTTAAACATGCATTCTGAAAGATTTCCATGTTTATTTTTCAGACATGAACCATCAACTCCAAGTTATGGAAGACATTCAGCAAAGAAAGCTGGCAGTGTCATGGCAGAGGTAACACAAACTGTTGTTCTTTTCACATTCCATTTGAAACTTCATTCTCTGTTCATGGGATTAATAGGATAGGACAGTTCTTCTTTACTGCATATATTAAAGTGGTCATTATTTCATTTACAGTACATGCAGGATCCATCCTTGATGTCACGGAATGGAAACAGGTATGTTGACTGAAGTTTACATAGATTTTCACCTCAAATTAATTTTAATGTAGAAATTAAAATGCCTGATTTGAGGTGATGGATGAATGATTGCATCTAATGACTTATTCATTCTCACATGTTACTTGCATAACTCATTTTGCCATTCATTATTTTGTGCTTAC